ATTTTGATTGCTGTTTGTGTTCTCTGTCTAATTTTGTGCTTCCTTGATTATACCTTTATTTATTTTCTTTTGTTGCCCCTGGGGTATAATTGTTTCTCTCTCTGCTTTCTGTATTGCTTCAAGTATTCTTTGAAGGGCTGGTTTTGTGGACATGTGTTCTTTCAGGCTTTTTGTGTCATGGAAGATTTTTCTTTCCCTCTCAACTATATTAGACATTTTTGCTGGGTATACTGTTCTGGGCTGGCATCTATTGTCATGTAGAACTGGAAATACCTTGGCCCAGGTTCTTCTGGTTTTCATAGTTTGCATTGATACGTCAGCTGTAATTCTGATTGGCTTTCCTTTGTATGTAACTTGTTTTTCTTTTGCTGCTTTCAGTATTTTCTCTTTGTTCTGTACATTTAGTGTTTTTACTATGATATGTTGTGGGGAGTTTCTTTTCTGGTCCTGTCTATTTGGTGTTTTATGTGCTTCCTGTATTTGTATGGGGATGTCTTTCCTTAATTTTGGGAAATTCACTTCTATAATCCTGTTTAAGATGTGGTCTGGCCGGGCGTGGTGGCACATGCCTTTAATCCCAGCACTCGGGAGGCAGAGGCAGGTGGATCTCTGTGAGTTCAAGTCCAGCCTGGTCTACAGAGTGAGGTCCAGGACAGCTGGAGCTACAGGGAGACCCTGTCTCAAAAACACCAAAAAAAAAAAAAAATCTGGTCTGGTCAACACCATTAACCTGAAATTCTTCTTCCTCTATTCCTATGATCCATAGATTTGGTCTTTTCATGGTGTCCCACATCTCTTGCATATTCCATTCCTGTGTTTTTTAAAATTTTCCATACTCTTTGCTTGAGTGAACCCAAATAAATGACCTAACAGTGCAACTCAAGTCACTGGAAAGGCAAGAATAAATGAAACCCAAACCCAGCAGAAGAGAAGAAATAACAAAAATCAGAGCAGAAATTAATGAAATAGAAACAAAGAAAACAATACAAAGAATCAATGAATCTAAGAGCTGAGAGCTGGTTCTTTGAAAAGCTAAACAAGATATACAGACCCATATCCCAGTTAACCAAAAGAAAGAGCAAACCAACATCAACAAAATCAGAGATGAAAGGGAAACATCACAACAAACACCCCAAAATTCAG